GGATAAACTCCAGCGGCTCCATCGAAGCTCAAAGCTGCAGAGCTGACTCAGGCCAGGCTGTGGGTCTCCGATTTTTCTAACAAGCGTCCACTCAAGCCGGTTCTGACCTGAATGTTTCCATCAGCTTGCGCTCCTCAGGTGGTGCCATAGCTGTCCAGGGCAGCATTCGGTCTTTGGGTGACATGGCTTTCTGGGGCTGCCAGGCAGACGCATCAGGCCATAAGCGACATTTTGTTCTGAGCACGTGGTAGCAACAATTACTACTCGCAATAATGTATCTATAAGTCGAGACTTCACATAAGCGGCAAAAGCTGTGAAGGTGGTGCTGCTTGGATCAATGGCAGCTTGACGCAAGCTGCGGGCAACATGGAATTCAACAGCTGCGAAGCAACAGAAGGTTGGGCCTTTCTGGGGAAGGTGTTGCATGGTCTGGCTTGTAATCCCCATAACTTATAGGGTAGCTATATACCTTAAACCCTGAACCCTATTTCTCAAGGTGTCAGCTGCAGAGGTTAGGTAGCAGGCAGCCGGGGTTCAGGCCGAGGCTGGACACTCACGACACCTGCGCTGGGAGCCACTACAAAGTCTCCATGAAAAAGGGTGCTCCAAGATCTTTTGATATAGCTCAGCGGAAGTCCATTTACAGCAATGTACGAAGGCCAGGAGTACCTAGCTCGCTTGGTGATTTTTCTGCTTGTTCTATTGACTATCTGCCGTATAATTGTGCATGACAGCGTCGCCAGGTGGCGCTATCCAAGCTGCGGATTTGACTCAAACCAGCGGCAGCATGCACTTCCACAACTGCACTGCCGTTCGGGGAGGTGGGGCACAGCATATGTTTGTCGATCATTGCCAACTGTGGCATGCAAATTCCTTGCAGGTGCGATACATACCGAGAAGGTGCTTTTATTGGGCATGATGGAGTTCGACGACTGTCATGCAATAGCTTTGGACGACAGTGGTCTGGATGATGGCGGCGCCTGTGATAAGTTGGTTTACATGTAGTTCCAATGTCTTGAGATGTCTTGAGCAACGGCCGAAGCTGCACATGACAGCTTCGCAAGGTAAAGGCGGTGCAGTGCTTGCTCGTGAAGGTTTGAAGCAAGCCAATGGGACCCTGGGCTTCCGCCATTGCAGTGCCAAGACAGGCCAGTCTGCGGCTTGTTGAAGCATTTCTGTACAATCACATGTTCATTAAATGTTCAACTAGCAGGCAAGCCTTGTCAAAACCATTGCACCACTAATTTGGTCCTGTGCTACTAGATTGCCGGAGACCAAGTGCACGGAGCTGATATATAAATGACTGACTTCATTGAACCATTGATTGTAGGGGCAGTCTGTGTCTAGCAAACGAGGGGGCAAGCAAGACAGTTGAGCCGGGTCAGCGGATCAAGCATCGATAAACAAGAAAGCAAGGTCACCTACGCCAAGTCATGATTGATGGATGGATACCTTCAACCCTGAAGTCTGGCCTAGCAGCCAACTTAAATCTCCGGGAGTCAAAGCCCAAAATTGCATTATGCGGTGTGGCGGTGATGATTCTGCAAGATGTGAATTTGGCTCGCTTGCTCATTGTACTGCCTGTTCTAAGTCTACCGCCTGTCTGACGTAATTGTGCATGACAACGTCGCCAGGTGGCGCTATCCAAACTGCGGATTTGACTCAAACTAGCGGCAGGATGCACTTCCGCAACTGCACTGCCGTTGGGGGAGGCGGGGTGTGGCATGTTTGTCAATCATCGCCAACTGTGGCCTGCAACATTCCTTGCAGGTGCGATACATACTGAATACATGCAGTCATTCGGCATCATGGAGTTCAACGACTGTCACGTACAACGTCCGAACGAAGGCAGTCTGAGCGCTGGCAGCTCGTGCGATCACTGGTTTTGCTGTTGCATAGGGCCTCGTGTCTTGACTCTTGACTTGAGAATCTAACGCAACTGCACGGGACGCTTTCACAAGGCAAAGGTGGTGCAGTACTGGCCAATAGAGCCCTGGATCACTCCAATGGCACCTTGCGCTTCCACAATTGCACTGCCTACAGCGGAGGTGCGTGTGCAGGGTATGAAAGACTACTCAAGCAGACCTTGCTCAGAATGTTCTCTGGCGCAGGTGCGATGTACTCCGAATTCATGTCGATGTCTTCGGGCACCATGGAGTTTAGCAGGTGCGAAGCAGATTTAGAAGGCCAAGCACTGCAGCTCACATGGTTTATTACGGCTTGACACACTAGGTATCTTAAACAGCTGTGCATGACCATGCCGCCAGGTGGTGCTATCCACACTCACGATTTGATTCAAGACCGTGGCAGTATGCGCTTCCACAATTGCGCTGCTCACAGCGGAGGCCAGGCACATAAGTTTGTGATTATGCAAGAGCTCGGGTCGTGAATTCTTAGCAGGTGCGATACATACCTTTCGTATGCTGTCGCTCGACATGATGGAGTTCAACAACTGCCAAGCATCAGTGCAAGGTCAGACCGCGCTTGCCTGGTGTGATTCGGTTTTGGAGACATAGCAGCTGACAGGTTACAATCAACTCCCTTTAATCTTAAAGCCCATCCCAGTATCCAATAAACTTCAGAGGCTTCAACTCCTGGAAGTGCATTTTTTAAGATGCAGAAGACTACTTTTAAGAAGGCGGCACCAACAGCCTGATAATGAACTACGGGACGATGCTCATTTGGGACGTGAAAAGGAACAACAAGAAAATAGGGAGCTCCTGCGTCTCCCTTCCCAATTCTTAAAGTGTGTATACGGCTTCTATAAATGTTTTTTCATATACAAGATTCATACGCAACTCTGATTTGAGTTGTGAACCTCCTTTCTTTCTATATGCTTAATACTCGTGGTTTTTATGAATATACGGCCTTAAAGGGGAGCATATACCAAAAACAATCTAAAGAAAATCTCACTCACGAATAATCAGGGATCTCAGCGAAATAGAACTCACGGGGCCACTTGCTGTTACAAGGGATCTTCATCCAACCATATCTATTAGCATCCCACCCTTCCCACAATTGTTTTTTTTCTGGCCGAGGAATATTTCAATTAATGGGGGCGGGCACTTAAGATCAGGAGGAAGCGAGTAATGCAGCTATTGGTGTTGCAGCGATACTTTGCACTCGTTGTAGTGCGATTCCATACGCTTTGCGTGTGCGCACGCTGAAGACGTGCGTAAATTTTTGCAGCCGATGCCTTCAACCCTGAACTCTGGCCTAGCAGCCGACTACAATATCTGGGAGCCGAAGCCCAGAATTGTGTTGTGTGGTGATGATTCTGCAAGATGCGAAAGTCAAGTGAATTAAGCTCGCTCAGTCATTTTACCGCTTGGTCCATTGACTATCTAACGTAACTGTGCATGACAACGCCGCCAGGTGGCGCTATCCAAACTGCAGATTTGAATCAAAGCAGCGGCAGCATGCACTTCCGCAACTGCACTTCCGTTGGGGGAGGCGGGGCGCGGCATGTTTGTCAATCATCGCCAACTGTCAACTGTGGCCTTCAACATTCCGTGCAGGTGCGATACATACTGAATACATGCAGTCATTCGGCATCATGGAGTTCAACAACTGCCACGCCAGAGATCAAGGTCCTGCAGAGTTTCAGCTCGTGTGATTAACTCTTGCTACATTATTTCCTGAGTAAGTCGTGCAGCTGCTCGTGACATTTGCACAAGGCGGCGGAGTGCTGGCTCAAAAAGCCTTGGAACAAGCCAATGGCACCTTGCGCTTCAAGAATTGCACTGCCTATAACGGAGGCCCATGTGCAGGATATCAAGCATCACTCAGGAGCAGACCTTGCTGAGAATGTTCATCCGTGTCAAAGCCTCCTCCAGGTGCGATATTTGCCGGGAAAGACGTAACAGCATCAGGCATCATGGCATTCACTGGCTGCAGAGGACGTCAAGGCAAAATGATCACCTAATCTCCTTTGTGGAGAGCCCATGCAAGGTAGGTTGAATGTCTTAGACAGCTGCAGTGCAGCCAGGCAGTGACTTGATGCTTCTCAAAGATCCGAAGCACGCCAACGGAAACGCATTCGCCAACCGTGGAGGTGAGCGTGTAGCAAAGCTTGGGGGATGCATAGGATAGGCGATTGCAGTATTTTATTGTTGTTAGACGTTCGCATGCGTGATGCGTTGTGAGGTGTCATGACTGTGCGGGGCGACCTTACGTCCACGGGGTCCCTGACATTTGAAGATTGCGAGGCGCAAGCAGGACGGGTTTCGCTGAACTAGCTGAACTTTCCTTCTGAGTGTACGTGCGTGTTGCATGACAAGAAAAAACACCAGAATCCTCACTCTACCTGTCGCCTATTATACCGCCACGATGCAAGGATCTTCACTTGCAGTCGAGGGTGATGTTCGCGCCCCTCGTTTTCCGGATACCTGCGCAGAGGGCAAGCTCAACCTCCGCGGCCTGTACGTGGTGAACGACAAGCAAACGATCAAGCAAGCTCTGAATGAGCGCTGCATGGTCCACGGATCCAGTGCAACCGTCTTGCTCAACGCGCCGTTAGTTTTTGAAGCAGGCCGTTGCATCATAACCCTGGATTTGTCTAAAAAAATGCTTGCAGTTGCAAGTAAAAGTAAAAACACTTTTTGTCGGCAGCTAGGTTAATTTCACCTGTCATTATCATTGTAGGGGCATCAGAGCCAAGAAGTGAAACGAAACAAGGAGCTCAACACCTACTACTGCAATCCATACTTGATGTGTATTCCTGGGAACTCAATCTAGTTGGTGAAGCTATGCAACAGAAAAATCAAAGCCTTAACTTCTTAGAAGCATGAGTTGATGATGAGCCACGAATATGTTTGACTTTGGCTTTGTGGGCTTCCTTAATTGAGGTCTCGATGCCCCAATGCTGGTCGACTTTGAGGTTGAGAGCTATACATTTAGGAGCGTATCCATAGCTACAATTTCCTCATGGTCAAACAGCTAAGTCACGTGAGTCATTTGTTAATCTGAGCTCGTTGCCACGAACTGATAGAACCAGCTAGATGCGCCTCTTGTTCTGGAAGTTTTGCGCAAATGCGCTGCCAGGAAGTCGTGGAGTTGCATTCGGTGGATTTCTGACCTTTGTTGGCATATCTGAACTGGCACAAGCCTGTGTGACGGTGCGGAGCACGCTTCAAATCGGTGATGATGGTGGTGCCCATGTCACCTTCACGGATTGCCACAACAAGGTGCGCCTGGGAAGCCACACCTCATTCCTACGAACGTGTTCCAATGTTCGGTCCGAATTCATGCCGCCATAGACGGATTCATCTGCTGCTAGCAGGAACATGTGTTTGCTGGCGGTGCGCTGAACGTGGAGGAGGGTCTGACTGTCGTCTCGGGCACCTTGGAGATCGCTCGCAGTAGCAGTGTCGCAGGTGGGGTGTACGATGTGGGCAGTTTGCACAAATCATCACGATGAAACGTCCATGCGCAATAGGGTCAAGGATCTCCAAATCTGAATGACATGTCGATGAATGACGATTAAGTAAGCCCTTCCCCCTAACAATCAACATCCCCTTTTCCCCTTTAATGCAATACATCGCCGTTGTTTTCCACTATTGGGGGCCTTGAACTCCTGCGGCCCCACATTAGCCTCAGAAACGAAACATGCCTGTTATAAAGTCTGTTTACACCTAATGAATGTATCTAAATGTTCCTGAATCTGGACCCCCCCCAATTCATCATTGATCTAGTCCTAATACGCTCCTTTTGAAACTAGTCTTGCCCTTTCACAGTAGTCTTTCAGGATTTCGGGCCACCGCTCGGAGTGTTTTTGTGATGAGGGGATCAATGTCAGGTGGCGGGGGCCTGCATATTGCAAACGGTGATCTCCAACAAGATGGTGGCAGGATCAAGCTGTGGTCCAGTGCTACAAAGGGCTCGGGCGGCGGTCTGCGCATTCAGAGCGGCGGCCTGCATCAACATTCTGGCGAGATCAGCTGCCGAAACTGTAGTGCAGAGCATAATGGCGGATGCTTGGCGATTGAAGGCGAAATCAAAGACGTAGCGCGATCGGGGGTAAACTCCAGCGGCTCCATCACGGCGGAAGGCTGCACAGCAGCGTCAGGCCCGGGCTGTTGAGTTTTCGACGGTCTGTCGCTCAAAAATGACCGGCAAGCTGAGAAACTTTCAGCTTGCGACTTTGACGATTTGAGCAGCCCAGGTGGTGCTATGGCAGTCCACCGCAGCGTGTGGTCATTCGGCAACATGATCTTCAAGGGCTGTCGGGCAGTCGACTCGGGTCTGGCCGCCATTTAATTGTTTAAGCCCGGTTGGCTGCTTTTCTTGCTTCCAAACGGATCTCTGTAGCACAAGCTCTGGAGGTGGTGCAGCTGTGATCAGCGACAGCTTGACTCAAGACAACGGGACCATGAGCTTCGATTCATGCGCGGCCCTGAAAGGCGGTGCGGGTGCAGCGTTCCATCTAGCAATTCTGTCTTTGCACGAGATCTCCAGGAAGTATTGCTAGGCGAATCAAAGTTTGCCTAGAAGCGGGTCTTGTGTGTTGAGCACTAATAGGACGCGAAGGCTCCAAACCAGGAGCACGCCACCGTGTCTTGTCGGCCTGCGCACTGCCAGCTTCCAAGGTGGCGCGCTCATGATCCAGAACAAGTTCGCTCAAGCCGACACCGCAAACATGTATTTTCGCAATTGCACCGCGGAAACGGATGGAGGTACGAGTGCAGCATGTGAGCTGGCAGACCTAAAATTGGGCTTGTATGGAGTGTTGATCAAGAGTTGCTAGAGTCTTGGGCAGGTGCGGTACTTTCTCAAAGCAGCTTCATTTCCTCGGGCATCATAGAATTCAACGACTGCCGAGCTCTTGAAGCAGGTTGGGCTGCTTCGTTTGTGTGGAGCAGCACATTCTGCGGTGAGTGCCAAACTCGAAAGGTGGTGCACTCAATGCCATTGGCAACATTTCGCAAGAAGCCGGGCACATGAAATTCGAGTCCTGCAGGGCTTCAAGCGGAGGCGCGGGTGTTGCACAACCTGAGCTGGCAGTTGTTAACGCCAAAATTGTTTTGGAGCATTGCTCGCGAAGCATCAACGCGAGATTTGGAGACGTGATATCAGGTGCCATATCTTCCGTATCAAGCCTGGAGTCTTCTGGTGTTATGGAGTTCAGCGGCTGCCAAGCCCAAGAAGGTCGGGTCAAGTCAGCAGTAGCTCAGTTTTTGTGAGGTTGCAAGGGTCTATGGCTCCAGAGCCTTTGGTGCGGCAACTATCCTTCGCACTCCTGGCTCAATATTCATACAGCCAACGCCAACAAATTTGCATGTGTCTCCTGCACCCTGAACCTGTACCCGCCCTGTAGATGCGAGCTGAATGGCCCTTCGGGCGTCCTAACACAGTTTCAGACAAGGAGCATACCAACATGTCTTGTATGCCTGCCCGCTGCAAGCTTCCAAGGTGGCGCACTCATGATCCAGAACAAGTTCGCTCAAGCCGACACCGCAAACATGTATTTTCGCAATTGCACCGCGGAAACAGATGGAGGTACGCGTGCAGCATCTAAGCTGGCAGACCTAAAATCGGGCTTGTATGGAGTGTTGATCAAGAGTTGCTAGAGTCTGGCTTGCTTTGCGTGTGACAAGCCTTGAAGGTGCGATATTGGTTGGAGGAGATTGGGAGTCTTTGGGACAGATGGAATTCAACGGCTGCAACGCGCATGGATATGGTCAGCCCAGTTTAGCCAGCCATGTTGTTGTTGTTGTTGTTGTTGTTGTGCCAGCCTCTTTCATCTATAAGCTCAGCTGGTTGCGCTGCAAAGCTCTGAAGGTGGTGCAGTCTTTGGTGACTTCCAGCAAATCGACGGGCTCATCAGCTTCGCTTCGTGCTCTGCTTCTCGTGGAGGCGCGCGACTAGCAAGTCTTTGCTGCAGTGCCGGTAGCAGCTTAAACAGAGCAAACTGCATTGGCATGAGCAGCGCCGCGAGGGTTCTAAAAGTGCCTGCCTGCTGAGGTGCTGCCTCAGTTCAGGGCGACCTTAACTCCACCGGTCGCATCAACATCAGGGAATGCCACTCAGACGAAGGACTGGGCTAGGCTAGGGCTAGAGATATCACACGCAGCTGTAGTGCCAGGTGTTGTTTTGCCTTGCTTCCAACCTAGCGGCTTTGTGGCAACGCTTGTTTTTGGGCCCACGCATGGCTGCAGTGCCTTGAGACATAAAGGGAGGCTATATGCCTGTAATAGATGCTTCTTTGCTGAAAGGTGACAAGGGACCACCGCTTAGCTGTGACAGTACCTCGCCAGGACCTGCATTAGCCGTCCAGGGTGCCATTCGCGTCCCTGACTTTCCAGAGACATGCACCAATGGCGTGCTGGATCTGCAGGGCCTGTATGCTATCAAGCATAGGACAGCAACTCTGAATGGGGATGGGAGCTGCAGGGTGCTGGGCACGGGTGCAACAATCCTGCTCAGCGCGCCGCTCACTTTCCCAGGAGACTCGGCTCACCTTTAGATTGTTCGTTCGGTTTGGCTTGCAAGGGAGATGTCAAAGGTTAGATGCTAGGACGTGGTGGTGTCGTCTTTCGCGGCACGCTGACCTTTGGCGGGACGACACCGATGCCACAAGCTTGTGTGACCGCACATGGCCCTGTGCGCATAGAAGATGGATCGGATGGTAGTTCCCACATCGTCTTCGTCGATTGCCACAATGAGCCTCTCCTGCAATAGTGGCATTGCTAGCAGTCACTTCAAGAGCAGCATGCAGAGGACCGGCTCCTCTGTGGCACAAGGGCTGACTGTAGAGTCAGAGTTGGGCCCAAACAACCATAGATAGCTACCACCTATTTGCTGCAATCCGAGTGAACCATCCATTCATTTTCCGGCTTTGGATCCAGAAAGCTGAGCGTCAGAACTGGACGCTCATAAGCAAACTATAGTTGCCCCGCTCCTTCTCGCACATCATTGTTCATGTCGTTACCTTCCCGTCTCAGCAGCAAGTCTCTCCAGTTGCTGTAGCCATTGCCCAAAATCATCAGAAAATTTCTCTGTGCCCTAGAACGGGTTAATTGCTGGCGGCGCGCTCTTCCTGGGCCGGGGCCTGACCATGATGTCTGGAGCCCTGGAGATCTGGCGAAGCAGCAGCAGCTCCTCCGACAAAGGCGGGGCATCGGTCAACCAATGGAGCCTATGTTGGTGCATGCAGTGATGCCAGGTGGTGGGGGACTCTACATTCTTCGCGGGGGCCTACGGCAAGAAGGAGGTAGCATCAAGCTTCAGTCCAGTCGTTCGGAGGCATACGGCGGTGGTCTCATGATAGTAGATGGCGGCCTCCTACAGCTTGCTGGCAATATCAGCTGCCAAAATTGCAGCGCCAAATCCGGTGGATGTCTCGCCGTCAGTCCGAAAGACAAGAGGAAACGTGGGCTTCGCTTGAAAGGCTCCATCACAGCGCGCAGCTGCAAGGCCACCCAAGGCCAGGACTAATGCTGAACACTCGACAGGGTTTGTGTAGGAGGGGATGCTGGGATTAGGCATGGCTGTCGCCGCGCAGATGCTGCAAACATTCTTTGCATTGGACGCATTCAACTGTAAGATGCTTGCAGGCTTCAGTGCGCACCAAAAACTTGGGCCAAGACCCTCAGACCCACAAAGTGCGCAGTGATGGTGATGATGTCCGGAGGCATTCCACAACCCTTCAGGCTTCACTAGCAGTGCACGTACGCAGTGGTGCATGTGACCCACGGAGGAACTTGCAAGCACAAAGACATCTCAAAGTTGCACTGTGCAAAATGGCTTGAAATCGGCACGCGCTCAACAGCAATTCATTTGGCCAGGGGCCGCTGTTTGACTAGGTCACTAAGACCATTGTTAGCATCATTTTGATTTTCCTGACTGTGTTATGCGTTGCGCTTGCTATACACAATGTACCGTTTCGCGTTTGATGTTCTCGTCTGCAGTTTCTGTTGGGCGACATGGCGCAGATTGTCTCCTGCTGGTGTGCTGCGCCTATTTCACAGTTTCCTGAACTAGAAACACCTTTCCCAGCTGCATGCTAGTTGACTACGCGGCTCGCATTTGGTGATGCCAGGTGGCGCAATCTTTGTTCAACATGGCAACCTCCGACAGGACGCTGGCAGTATAACGATTCTATTCGGTCATTCAGAGCTGGTTGGAGGGGGTATTTACATGCATGGCGGCTCACTGGAGCAGCATGCTGGCAGCATTAGCTGTCAAAGTTGTGCAGCACGTGACAGTGGCGGATGCATGCATATGCGTTCGATAAAGCAGCTGTCTTCGCCGAAGCAGCTGTACTTGAACGGCACGTTCCACGCTGAGAATTGTTCGGCAAAGTTAGGCCAGAGTCGGGATTTCTCATTTAATCCTAATAATATCCTAAGGCATGCATGGGCACTTGTTCAGATGCTTCATTCTGTTTGGCAGACACAGGCGGCGCGATCTTTGTGACTGAAAACGCACTTCTGTCCGGAATGTCGCAGTTCACTGACTGCCATGCAGACGCACAAACAGGAGAGGGGTTTTGCCTTGCTTTAGATCTTATGCTTTCAAGCAGAGAGAATATTGGGCTGGGTCTTTTGCGAATGTATTGTAGCTCAAAAGCTCACCTCTTCTTCCAGCGGTGCATTCAGGCGGCTCAGGCGGTGCAATGTTCACCCGCGGCAGCCTGACGTCAACTGGCACGACAGTATTTCGTGGCTGCCGTTCTCATGAAGGATCTGGCTTGAGAGATGCTGATATCTTCTCTGCTTTTTACTAAAGGCTATCGCAATCTGGTCCTTTATCCGCCCTTATCGATTCAGAGCCTTTAAAGGGTCTTTGCAGGATACAAGGCTGGGTATGCATGCCAGAATCAAATTCAGTGGCAGAACTGGCCGGGCTTTGTAAAGCATCATGAATTGTGGATCCCACACAATCCATCAATGCCATGGTTTCTTCAAAAGTCGCATTGCGCACAAGCACGCACAAACAATACATGCCAAGTACTCAGAACAAAGCAATCCATTGTGACTTTGCAAGTCTGAGGCGGACGCTCATGGCAGAACTGATTCCGCGGTCTTGCTTTCGCAACTTTTGCATTTCCCTGGATACGTGCACAACTTGCAAAACTTTGCATGCTCGTGATTTTGAAAACTGCTTGCTGCTGTTTCTTGCGTTTTGCTGCGAACATATTTGCGTACAAACTGATGCTCAACTCATCTTTGCAAGGAAAAAACCACCGCCCCTACACCTGCCTGGAGCTAGAGCTCAGTCATTGACTTTTTTGTATGTGTTGGCTCACTCTTTTTGTT